CTTACAAATAATTGTTTGTGTGGGGTACATAGATGAGGTAGTCATTCAAAAATCATATTAAACACTATTATTGCACACAGTGAGTGCATGTAACATATTATGTGACTTGTTAAGCACATTTTTACTCCTGAACGTATTTAGGCTTGCCATAACAAAGAAGTTAAATGCTTATTGACTCAATACAGTTCAGCTTTTCATTTTTAATTAATTTGTAAAACATTTTGAAAAACATAAATCCACATTGACATTATGGTGTATTGTGTGAGGCCAGTGACAAAAAAAATTCTAAATGCAATCAATTTAAAATTCAGGCTGTAACACAACAAAATGTGGAAAAAGTCAAGGGGTGTGAATACTTCCTGAAGGCACTGTATATGAATGCTTCCATACAGGCTTTACACAGTAGGTAGTGTAAAGCATAGCACAGAGAATGTTCGACCAACCTTTACTTGGCGATACTTCCTCAATTCTTGACTTGGAAGACAAGCGCGTCTTCTAAACTTCACTGTGTGGTTGCAGGGGGTGTGTTTGAATGTAGAAAATGCTCTGTTATTCAATTAAATAAAAATGTTTCTCCATGAAGTAATCCAATAATGTGTACGCCGCCATCTTGTCAATTTCAAATGTTCTCTTATTGATTGAGACAGGTAGGTGTCCACCCCAAAGTGCCGCATGTCATAATGACACTTGCCTCTCAATCAATGGGAAGATTTTAAAAAGACAAGATGGCGGAGTACACATTGTTGGATTACTTCATGGAGAAACATTTTTATTTAATTGAATAACAGAGCATTTTCTACATTCAAAAATTGTGTAGGAATGTGAATGGGAAATGTGTGTTCACCAGTATGTCCTAAAACTCTGCTCATCACTGCTCAATTTACAACATCATCAGTACTGATTTACCACTCATATACACTATATATAAAAGTATGTGGACACCCCTTCAAATTAGTGGATTCGGCTATTTCAGCCACACCCGTTGCTAACAGATGTATAAAATCGAGCACACAGCCATGCAATCCCCATAGACAAACATTGGCAGTAGAATGGCCTTACTGAAGAGCTCAGTGACTTTCAACATGGCACCGTCATAGGATGCCACCTTTCCAACAAGTCAGTTTGTCAAATTTCTGCCCTGCTAGAGCTGCCCTGGTCAACTGTAAGTGCTGTTATTGTGAAGTGGAAACTTCTAGGAGCAACAACGGCTCAGCCGCAAAGTGGTAGGCCACACAAGCTCACAGAACAGGACCGCCGAGTGCTGAAGCACGTAGCGCCTAAAAATCGTCTGTCCTCGGTTGCACCACTCACTACCGAGTTCCAAACTGCCTCTGGAAGCAACGTCAGCACAATAACTGTTCGTCGGAAGCTTCATGAAATGGGTTTCCATGGCCGAGCAGCCGCACACAAGCCTAAGATCACCATGCGCAATGTCAAGTGTTGGCTGGAGTGGTGTAAAGCTCGCCGCCATTGGACTCTGGAGCAGTGGAAACGCGTTCTCTGGAGTGATGAATCACGCTTCACCATCTGGCAGTCCGATGGACGAATCTGGGTTTGGCGGATGCCAGGCAACGCTCACTGCCCCAATGCATAGTGCCAACTGTAAAGTTTGGTGCAGGAGGAATAATGGTCAGGGGTTGTTTTTCATGGTTCGGGCTAGGCCCCTTAGTTGTAAGTCGCTCTGGTTAAGAGCGTCTGCTAAATGACTAAAATGTAAAATGTAAAAATGTAAGTCTTAAAGCTACAGCATACAATGACATTCTAGACGATTCTGTGCTTCCAACTTTGTAGCAACAGTTTGGGGAAGGCCCTTTCCTATTTCAGCATGACAATGCCCCCGTGAACAAAGCGAGGTCCATACAGAAATTATCGGTGTGGAAGAAGTTGACTGGCCTGCACAGAGCCCTGACCTCAACCCCATCGAACACCTTTGGGATAAATTGGAACGCCGTCTGCGAGCCAGGTCTAATCGCCCAACATCGGTGCCCGACCTCACTATTGCTCTTGTGGCTGAATGGAAGCAAGTCCCCGCAGCAATGTTCCAACATCTAGTGGAAAGCCTTCCCAGAAGAGTGGAGACTGTTATAGCAGCAAAGGGGGGACCAACTCCATATTAATGCCCATGATTTTGGAATGAGATGTTCCAGGAGCAGGTATCCACATATCTTTGGTCATGTATATGTATAGTGTATGTAGTAAATAAGTCTTGAAACAACTTGTAAGGTAGTTGTTGTTTTTTTGAGGTTGTGGCAATATCCTGCCATCTGGTGGCGACTAGAAACAATTGCATAATAGGTACTATTACAAGTTGATGGTCCTTGAAAATAAATACACTACATGACCAAAAGTATGTGGACACCTGCTTGTCGATCATCTCATTCCAAAATCATGGGCATTAATATGCAGTTGGTCCCCCCTTTGCTGCTATAATAGCCTCAACTCCTAATATTGAGTTGCACCCCTTTTTGCCCTCAGAACAGCCTCAATTTGTCAGGTCATGGACTCTAAAAGGTGTCAAGCGTTCCACAGTGATGCTGGCCCATGTTGACTCCAATGCTTCCAACAGTTTTGTCAAGTTGGCTGACTGTCCTTTGGGTGGTGGACCATTCATGATAAACATGGGAAACTGTTGAGCGTGAAAAACCCATTAGTGTTGCAGTTCTTGACACAAACCGGTGTGCATGGCACCTACTACCGTACCCCGTTCAAAGGCACTTATATTTTTTGTCTTGCTCATTCACCCTGTGAATGGCACACATGCACAATCCATGTCTCAATTGTCTCAAGGCTTAAACGTCTTTCTTTAACCTGTCTCCTCCCCTTTGTTAGGTTCTGAACATATTTCAAGCTACAATCCAACACCTTCATATACACTGACGGGATCATAGACTGACCAGGTGAAAGCTATGTCATGGAAAGAGCAGGTGTTCCTAATGCTTTGTACACTCTGTATTTTGTTTTATTCAAATAAGTTAGGTTTTTCTAAATAAAAAATTGCATAAAAGGACCCGAGAATTTAGTCCGGACTCATTTCGGTAATGAGATTGTGGGGTGACAATTAAAAAAAAATCTGTTAAATGTTAATGTACACTGCTCAAAAAAATAAAGGGAACACTAAAATAACACATCCTAGATCTGAATGAATGAAATCATCTTATTAAATACTTTTTTCTTTACATAGTTGAATGTGCTGACAACAAAATCACACAAAAATTATCAATGGAAATCAAATGTATCAACCCATGGAGGTCTGGATTTGGAGTCATCCTCAAAATTTAAAGTGGAAAACCACACTACAGGCTGATCCAACTTTGATGTAATGTCCTTAAAACAAGTCAAAATGAGGCTCAGTAGTGTGTGTGGCCTCCACGTGCCTGTATGACCTCCCTACAACGCCTGGGCATGCTCCTGATGAGGTGGCGGATGGTCTCCTGAGGGATCTTCTCCCAGACCTGGACTAAAGCATCCACCAACTCCTGGACAGTCTGTGGTGCAACGTGGCGTTGGTGGATGGAGTGAGACATGATGTCCCAGATGTGCTCAATTAGATTCAGGTCTGGGGAACGGGCGGGCCAGTCCATAGCATCAATGCCTTCCTCTTGCAGGAACTGCTGACACACTCCAGCCACATGAGGTCTAGCATTGTCTTGCATTAGGAGGAACCCAGGGCCAACCGCACCAGCATATGGTCTCACAAGGGGTCTGAGGATCTCATCTCGGTACCTAATGGCAGTCAGGCTACCTCTGGCGAGCACATGGAGGGCTGTGCGGCCCCCCAAAGAAATGCCACCCCACACCATGACTGACCCACCGCCAAACCGGTCATGCTGGAGGATGTTGCAGGCAGCAGAACGTTCTCAACGGCGTCTCCAGACTCTGTCACGTCTGTCACGTGCTCAGTGTGAACCTGCTTTTATCTGTGAAGAGCACAGGGCGCCAGTGGTGAATTTGCCAATCTTGGTGTTCTCTGGCAAATGCCAAACGTCCTGCACGGTGTTGGGCTGTAAGCACAACCCCCACCTGTGGACGTCGGGCCTTCATACCACCCTCATGGAGTCTGTTTCTGACCGTTTGAGCAGACACATGCACATTTGTGGCCTGCTGGAGGTCATTTTGCAGGGCTCTGGCAGTGCTCCTCCTGCTCCTCCTTGCACAAAGGCGGAGGTAGCAGTCCTGCTGCTGGGTTGTTGCCCTCCTACGGCCTCCTCCACGTCTCCTGATGTACTGGCCTGTCTCCTGGTAGCGCCTCCATGCTCTGGACACTACGCTGACAGACACAGCAAACCTTCTTGCCACAGCTCGCATTGATGTGCCATCCTGGATGAGCTGCACTACCTGAGCCACTTGTGTGGGTTGTAGACTCCGTCTCATGCTACCACTAGAGTGAAAGCACCGCCAGCATTCAAAGGTGACCAAAACATCAGCCAGGAAGCATAGGAACTGAGAAGTGGTCTGTGGTCACCACCTGCAAAACAGTCCTTTATTGGGGGTGTCTTGCTAATTGCCTATAATTTCCACCTGTTGTCTATTCCATTTGCACAACAGCATGTGAAATTTATTGTCAATCAGTGTTGCTTCCTAAGTGGACAGTTTGATTTCACAGAAGTGTGATTGACTTGGAGTTAAATTGTGTTGTTTAAGTGTTCCCTTAATTTTTTTGAGCAGTGTATTTAAAATAAGACACTTTCCCAAAAAATAAACATCTTAGTCCTCAGAATGATAGTTGATTTTTGCAGATGCATCATGGTTTTGAAACTCAATTTGCTACAGACATTTTAAAACTGTTGTAATGAGAATCACCCTGCTAGCTGAGATTGAGCGCTCGAGACCACTGATCCAGCTAGCTATGTGAATTATCTTATCTCTGGTCACTGGTATCTCAGTGCACTGTGACATAGTCTATCCTGAGATTAAACTGAGATGCAGGTTAAATTGACAGAATGTAGAACTGACTACAACACCTTCTTCTTATGTGAAGTTTTGTACAGGGAGAAAATTGTATGGATTCCACAGCAGAAAAGGAGTCCGAGGTGCTCCTTGACAGGATGACCAACTCTCTGGCCAAGGCTATGAGAGTATCCGAACATCATGAATGTCCAGACAGCCAAAGCACAGCAGCCCACAGGGGTACTGAGCAGGAGGACGATGCCTTTTTTGACTGTGAGGAGTCTCTGGATGGAGCAGACAAGGAAAGGAAGACTGACTGTTCAGAAGCCTCACCATTATGCCAGGGAGCAGAGGGAGACAGGAAAGAGAGAGTCAGATTGAACAAAGAACACATCAATGCAGAGTTAGGAGAAGAAGCTGAGTTGTCAGGGGTGAGAACTACAATATTGGGAGATGAAGAGGGGGAGAGAGGTGAAGGGATGGATGAGGAGGAGAAAGAGAGTTGGGATGAGTGCACTGAAGAGGACAAGAGTGTGGCAGTTGAAGGGGGAGATTCTGATACTGAACTGAAAGGAGAAGAGAACACAGCTCCTGAGTTTGATGAGGAGTATCTGAGAGAAGTGGAGAAAGACCTGACAGAGGAAGAAAAGGAGGTGAATGTTATCCTAGTCTAAACATTCGTTTCCTACAACATGTTTCTGTTATAATAATAATAACTCACCAAAATGCAAGATGCTTTTTTTTTTCAACTTTCAACCATAATTTGGTGGTTCGTAGGTTGACATTACAAAAGCTCCCCGTCTTTTGTGTTTGTTTGTTTCCTTTGTGCCATAGAGCCGCAGAGAGGGGAGTATGACACTAAAGGACAAGGGGAACAGTCAGTTCAAGAGTGGAGGTAGGCTGCTGTAGGCTAAACTGCTGTAGGATGGCTGTTGGAGGAAACCTGTCAAATAGGAATTGACTGACCCTTTATCTTCCTAGAGCACACTGAGGCAGAGGAGTCTTACACGGCAGCTTTGGGAGTGTGCCCTGTGTGTTACAGCAAGGAGAGGGCTATTCTCTTCTCTAACCGTGCTGCTGCCCGCCTGCACCTGGTAAGAGTGGTTGTAACAATAAACTTAACCAAGTGGGGAATTCTGAGGACCTATCTTGAGTTTATCTAGTTGATTGTTATAACCCTCCTGAGGTTTCCTACATTTCAGTTTGTTTTGTCAAAATATATTCTCAGACGGCTGCCTATATAAATTATAACATAAGGTCTACCTTTTATGACACAATTGTATCAAGTCAATTCTCTTCTACTATTGCAAAGTCAGGTGCACAGTTTAGAGATTGTGGAGACACAGAGCTCTTGTGACACCTAGTGGTACTCTACTGTAACTACAGGTTTGAATTGGAACTATGCTCTTGCCTGATTCATTCTAGTCCTATGTGTCAAGACATCAACAGGTCATTTGGAGTTGATGATATCATCTCATAACTTTTCCACCCAAACAAATATACAACAAAATGCAGACTGAGTTTGAATAAAACCTTCCCCCTCCCCCAATAGGATAAGAATGAGAAAGCCATCGCTGACTGCACAAAAGGTGAGACTGTTAAATCTGTATGTATTGTAATTCCACCATGCCAGATGATTGAACTGTCTGGGACCTGATGTCCTACTTTCCCAGTGTATTCTAGTGAACACACTGCCTACTCCAGAACACCCCATGTTTCTACATATTTTCTGTTCACCCAAACCAGGTGTATCCGGTAAATTGCAGTTGCTATTATCAAAATCACCAACACCGGGTGCAGATTTGGGTGAATGACATTTTGAATATTCATACCCATTGCTACATAACTAGCACTCTGAACAATTGTTTTCTTGTTTCTTCACCTCCAGCCATAGAGTTGAACCCAAACTACATGCGGGCGATCCTGCGGAGGGCAGAGCTCTATGAGAAAACAGACAAGCTGGATGAGGCTTTGGAAGACTACAAGGCTGCTCTGGAGAAAGACCCAAACCTGCCAGCAGCCAGAGAGGCCTGCATGGTTAGTGGCAAAAACTGACATTTAACTCAAAGATAAGATTTAGCAGAACAGAAAAAGCTTGCATTTAACAGTCACTATTCAGTAGATGCACATAGTTCACTTTTAACAATTGGAGAGTATAGTAGCAGGGTTGGTTTTTGCATTTTCTTCTTGCTTACCAACATTGAATGAATGTTGTTAGGATTGCCTTGGATGAAAAAACAAGAACCATAATAATCCAGATTTTGATATGAGGCCCAGTTATCCGACAATTTCATTGATCTTGCTCGTTCAATAGCTAGGGTTCAAGTTAATCAAATAAAACATGCATTACTGTTTAATATGTAATATTGATGTGAGGCAAACTGAAATGGCTTGGACAAAGAAGTGTTTCTCATCTTTCCATTCAATGAGGCTGTCTGTGCTGTAGTTGGAGTTGGCTGTATCTGTGTCAAGGGGAAAGAAGGGTTCTTATTTGTTCTGAATGAGGCCATGCATAACAACAGGAGCCAAGCAGCAGCTCTTACCAATGTAGCCATGAGGGGGCGGCTTACACAACACAAGCTCACAGCACTTGCATCCCAAATGGCACCCTTATTACATATATAGTGCACTAAGTAGTAGAGCGGGGACTACTAATCGCAGGCATTTTGCTGATATCGTTCATTACGATAAATAGCCTATACTAGAGAAATTTGCATTTTTGAAATGAAATACAGTGGGAGAAAAAAGTATTTAGTCAGCCACCAATTGTGCAAGTTCTCCCACTTAAAAAGATGAGAGAGGGCTGTAATTTTCATCATAGGTACACGTCAACTATGAAAGACAAAATGAGGGAAAAAAATCCAGAAAATCACATTGTAGGATTTTTAATGAATTTATTTGCAAATTATGGTGGAAAATAAGTATTTGGTCAATAACAAAAGTTTCTCAACACTTTGTTATATACCCTTTGTTGGCAATGACACAGGTCAAACGTTTTCTGTAAGTCTTCACAAGGTTTTCACACACTGTTGCTGGTATTTTGGCCCATTCCTCCATGCAGATCTCCTCTAGAGCAGTGATGTTTTGGGGCTGTCGCTGGGCAACACGGACTTTCAACTCCCTCCAAAGATTTTCTATGGGGTTGAGATCTGGAGACTGGCTAGGCCACTCCAGGACCTTGAAATGCTTCTTACAAAGCCACTCCTTCGTTGCCCGGGCGGTGTGTTTGGGATCATTGTCATGCTGAAAGACCCAGCCACGTTTCATCTTCAATGTCCTTGCTGATGGAAGGAGATTTTCACTCAAAATCTCACGATACATGGCCCCATTCATTCTTTCCTTTACACGGATCAGTCGTCCTGGTCCCTTTGCAGAAAAACAGCCCCAAAGCATGATGTTTCCACCCCCATGCTTCACAGTAGGTATGGTGTTCTTTGGATGCAACTCAGCATTCTTTGTCCTCCAAACACGACAAGTTGAGTTTTTACCAAAATGTTCTATTTTGGTTTCATCTGACCATATGACATTCTCCCAATCCTCTTCTGGATCATCCAAATGATCTCTAGCAAACTTCAGACGGGCCTGGACATGTACTGGCTTAAGCAGGGGGACACGTCTGGCACTGCAGGATTTGAGTCCCTGGCGGCGTAGTGTGTTACTGATGGTAGGCTTTGTTACTTTGGTCCCAGCTCTCTGCAGGTCATTCACTAGGTCCCCCCGTGTGGTTCTGGGATTTTTGCTCACCGTTCTTGTGATCATTTTGATCCCACGGGGTGAGATCTAGCGTGGAGCCCCAGATCGAGGGAGATTATCAGTGGTCTTGTATGTCTTCCATTTCCTAATAATTGCTCCCACAGTTGATTTCTTCAAACCAAGCTGCTTACCTATTGCAGATTCAGTCTTCCCAGCCTGGTGCAGGTCTACAATTTTGTTTCTGGTGTCCTTTGACAGCTCTTTGGTCTTGGACATAGTGGAGTTTGGAGTGTGACTGTTTGAGGCTGTGGACAGGTGTCTTTTATACTGATAACAAGTTCAAACAGGTGCCATTAATACAGGTAACGAGTGGAGGACAGAGGAGCCTCTTAAAGAAGAAGTTACAGGTCTGTGAGAGCCAGAAATCTTGCTTGTTTGTAGGTGACCAAATACTTATTTTCCACCATAATTTGCAAATAAATTCATAAAAAATCCTACAATTTGTTTTTCTGGAAAATAAATTCTCTATTTGTCTGTCATAGTTGACGTGTACCTATGATGAAAATTACAGGCCTCTCTCATCTTTTTAAGTGGGAGAACTTGCACAATTGGTGGCTGACTAAATACTTTTTTCCCCCACTGTACGTTTGCTAATATGGGTAGTTGTTAATGGGACAATTGTTGGCTACAACCATCAAACTAGTAGTAGTAGTTTCAAATATAATAATAAAAAGAACTGTGGTGCACGACGTTAATGTTGTAAACGTATCGTTCTATTTATCGTTTTCGCATCAATTCAGGCAATTTATCGCAATATGCATTTTTGACCATATCGCCCAGCTCTACAAAGTAGGGCACAATATAGTGCACGTTATAGGGAATTAGGTGCCATTTGGAACGCGGTCGGCCCATCTTGGCCTGGCCTGAAATAGAAGAGTAGATCGAGGCAAGGAGAAGACTGATAAAATGCGGAGAGGAAGGAGTATAGTGCAGTTACTTAGGCTTTGCTTCCTTTCATATGAAAATACACCGGCAGACACTAAATGGTCTCAAAATACTCTGTCTAGTCTATCTCCCCCGGCCCCAACACATACACACACACGTACCAGAGAATCAACTCCATTCTTCCCAACAGCTCCACATTTCCTTTGTTTGGTCTAGAATGGATAATGCGAGATGAGAGCAGTTACAGAGCCTTCAGTTACAGAGCCTTGACTTATTCCACATGTTGTTTTGTTACAGCATGAATTAAAAATTGATTAAATATATTTTTTTATCTGCCAATCTACACACAATACCCCATAATGACAGTGAATTGTTTTTAGACATTTTCTTAACATTTTCAAATTTATTGAAAATGAAATACAGAAATATATCATTTACATAAGTATTCACACCCCTGAGAATACTTTGTAGAAGCACCTTTGGCAGCGATTACAGCTGTGAGTCTTTCTGGGTAAGTCTATAAGCTTTCCACACCTGGATTGTGCAACATTTGCCCATTATTCTTTTCAAAATTCTTCAAGCTCTGTCAAATTGGTTGTTGATCATTGCTAGACAGCCATTTTCAGGTCTTGCCATAGATTTTCAAGTAGATTTAAATAAAAACTGTAACTACCACTCAGGAACATTTACTGTCTTCATGGTAAGCAACTCCAGTGTAGATTTGGCCTTGTGTTTTAGGCTATTGTCCTGCTGAAATGTGAATTCATCTCCCAATGTCTGGTGGAAAGCAGACTGAACCAGATTTTCCTCTAGGATTTAGCCTCTGTTTAGCTCCATTCCGTAGATTTTTTGTATTCAGGACAAAAAGTTAAATTGCTTTGCCACATTTTTTGCAATATTACTTTAGTGGTGTGGTCCTCTGTAGCTCAATTGGTAGAGCATGGCGCTTGTAACGCCAGGGTAGTGGGTTCGATCCCCGGGACCACCCATACGTAAGTCGCTTTGGATAAAAGCGTCTGCTAAATGGCATATTATTATATTATTTAGTGTCTTGTTGCAAACAGGATACATGTTTTGGAATATGTGTATTCTGCAGGGTTCCTTTTAACTCTGTCAATTAGGTTAGTATTGTGAAGTAACTACAATGTTGTTGATCCACCCTCAGTTATCTCCCATCACAGCCATTAAATTCGGTGACTGTTTTAAAGTCACCATTGGCCTCATGGTGAAATCCCTGAGCGGTTCCTTCCTCTCCGGCAACTGAGTTAGGAAGGACGCCTGTATCTTTGGGTGTATTGATACACCATCCAAAGTGTAATTAATAACTTCACCATGCTCAAAGGGATATTCAATGTATGCTTCTTTTTTTGGTTCTTTTTTTAAATCTACCATTAGGTGCCCTTCTTTGCAAGGCATTGGAAAACCTCCCTGGTATTTGTGGTTGAATCTGTGTTTGAAATTCACTGCTCGACTGAGGGACCTTATAGATAATTGTATGTGTGGGGTACAGAGATGAGGTAGTCATTCAAAAATCTTGTTAACCTCTACGGGATTGGTGTCCCATATACGGGACGGTTGAGCTAACGTGCACTAATGTGATTAGTATGACTGTAAATAACAGCAAACTTTCCGGGACATAGACATGTCTTATATGGGCAGAAAGCTTAAAGTCTTGTTCATCTAACTGCACTGTCCAATTTACAGTAGCTATTACAGTGAAAAAAATACCATGCTATTGTTTGAGGAGAGTGCACAACAACAACAAAAACGTATCACCGCAACTGGTTTGATACATTCACCTCTGAAGGTAAATAATATACTGACATTCAGTAATCTTGCTCTGATTTATCATCCTAAGGTTATATTCTCCTACGTTAATTTCATATTTCCACAAACTTCAAAGTGTTTCCTTTCAAATGGTATCAAGAATATGTATATTGTTGCTTCAGGTCCTGAGATTTGTGTATGTCATTTTAAGCGAAAAGAGGTTAAACACTATTATTGCACACAGAGTGAGTCCATGCAATTTATTATGTGACTTGTTAAGCACATTTTTACTCCTGAACTTATTTATGCTTGCCATAACAAAGGGGTTGAATACTTATTGACTCGAGACATTTCAGCTTTTCATTATTAATTCATTTGTAGAAAATTTGAAATAGATAATTCCACTTTGACATTATGGGGTATTGTGTGTACAGTGCATTCGGAAAGTATTCAGACCCCTTGACTTTTTCCACATTTTATTACGTTACAGCCTTATTCTAAAATTGATTAAATTAATGTTTTTCCTCATCAATCTACACACAATACCCCATATGACAAAGCTAAACAGGTTTTTAGAGATGTTAGCAAATTTGTAACAAATTTAAAACAAATACCTTATTTACATAAGTATTCAGACCCTTTGCTATGAGACTCGAAATTGAGCTCAGGTGCATCCTGTTTCCATTGATCATCCTTGAGATGTTTTGACAACTTGATTGGAGTCCACCTGCGGTAAATTCAATTGATTGGACATGATTTGGAAAGGCACACACCTGTCTATATAAGGTCCCACAGTTGACAGTGAATGTCAGAGCAAAAACCAAGCCATGAGGTCGAAGGAATTGTCCGTAGAGCTCCGAGACAGGATTGTGTCGGCACAGATCTGGGGAAGGGTACCAAAACATTTCTGTGGCCTCCATCATTTTTAAATGGAAGAAGTTTGAAACCGCCAAGACTCTTCCTAGAGCTGGCCGCCCGCTAAACTGAGCAATCGGGGGAGAAGGGCCTTGGTCAGGGAGGTGACCAAGAAACCGATGGTCACTCTGACAGATCTCCAGAGTTCCTCTGTGGAGATGGGATAATCTTCCAGAAGGACAACCATCTCTGCAGGACTCCACCAATCAGGCCTTTATGGTAGAGTGGCCAGACGGAAGCCACTCCTCAGTAAAAGGCACATGACAGCCCGCTTGGAGTTTGCCAAAAGGCACCTAAAGGACTCTCAGACCATGAGAAACAAGATTCTCTGGTCTGATGAAACCAAGATTGAACTCTTTGGTCTGAATGCCAAGCGTCATGTTTGGGGGAAACCTGGTACCATCCCTATGGTGGTGGCAGCATCATGCTGTGGGGATGTTTTTCAGCGGCAGGGACTGGGAGACTAGTCAGGATCAAGGGAAAGATGAACGGAACAAAGTACAGAGAGATCCTTGATGAAAACCTGCTCCAGCGTTCTCAGGTCCTCAGACTGGGTCGATGGGTTCTCCTTCCAACAGGACATCGACCCTAAGCACACAGCCAAGACAACGCAGGAATGGCTTTGAGACAAGTCTCTGAATGTCCTTGAGTGGCCCAGCCAGAGCCCGGACTTGAACCTGATCGAATATCTCTGGAGAGACCTGAAAATAGCTGTTCAGCGACACTCCACATCCAACTTGACAGAGCTTGAGAGGATCTGCAGAGAAGAATGGGAGAAACTCCCCAAATACAGGTGTGCCAAGCTTGTAGCGTCATACCCAAGACTCAAGGCTGTAATCGCTGCCAAAGGTGCTTCAACAAAATACTGAGTAAAGGGTCTGAATACTTATGTAAATGTGATATTTCAGTTATTTATTTAAAAACCTGTTTTTGCTTTGTTGTTATGGGGTATTGTGTGTAGATTGATGAGGAGGAAAAAACTATTGCATCCATTTTAGAATAAGGCTGTAACGTAACAAAATGTGGAAAAAGTCAAGGGGTCTGAATACTTTCTCAATGCACTGTAGGCCAGTGACAAGAAATCTCAATTTAATCCATTTTAAAATCAGACTGTAACACAACAAAATGTGGAAAAGTGTGAATACTTTATGAAGGCGCTGTATGTCCTTGGAGGCATGCTGTATAGACCAGCACCCTAGATATAATATGCCAGTAATTACAAAGCAGAGTAAAGGGGTCCTTCTGACCTGAGGTGGATAATGAGAAATTACTGTGATGGATTGGTGGGGAAAACCTGTTTACCTCCCTGCCACTACAACGTCTGAGGTTACTAGCTCTAGTCCAGAGGTTAAGGACAAGTGTAATGCAATAGTCCCACCACAGTGATGTTGTCAAGACAACCACGGGGTAAAGTAGTAGCACCATATCCTTGAAGTTCCATTCCAAACAAATAAAGGTTGTTGTGAGATCAGAGGAAGCTAAATTAAATCTGCTGTGCACTGTTCTGTATGTGAAACGATGGGCCACAGAATAGTGGTAACCAGCCACATGGCTAGTCATTCACCTTGACTGACTGTCTCTTTCCCTCTCCTCCATACAGAGGCTTCCACAACAGATCCACGAGCGAAATGAGAAGCTGAAGGAAGAGATGATGGGTATGAGACCTTTTTTTGTATTTTTCATCTACTGCTTTTCTCTTGCTTTGCGTAGATTGCACCCCCAGGGAAACATTTCAAAAGGCTAGAGACTAAAGTGCATTCACTGATCAGCAAGAAACACTGAATGGTGCACTGTGATATGTTCAATCAAATTGTTAGCAGGTGAGGGTAGCCCCAACATACCAGTTCAGTGTTAGGGTGGTTCTGTTCCATCGTGGTCACCTATAAGGTCGTGTGGATCCAGCTGTTACTCACTAGGCTGGAAGTGTGAAACCGATTGAATGCTTGGAATTGAAATTGACCACAAAGCAGGAGAGAGGCTGTTTAACCAACATTTCCAATTGATTTTACTACAGTAAGAGCCTTGGAGCTGTGCTGGGAAAAACTGCTCAGTACTAATGTACTAAGGCTGTGTAGTAGGACGGAGATAAGTGTATATTGTAGTATTCTCTCATTTGCAATTGTCAGTAGACAATACTGACCTAAATGGAAATGTTTTCATGTGTTATTGGTCATTTAATTGTTTTCATCACAATTTTTGTCATAATTTAGCCTTCATGTATTTAGCCTTTCCCTGTCTGTTTGTCCATAGGCAAGCTGAAGGACTTGGGCAATATGTTCCTACGGCCTTTTGGTCTGTCCACCTCAAACTTCCAGGTGAACCAGGATTCGGGCACTGGATCCTACTCCGTCAACTTTGTTCAGAGTCCAAATAACAACCGATAACAGCATGACAAGGCAGTCTGAGAGCCATCACACCTGGCTGGCCTTCCATCCCCAGAGCTAAGAGACTGACAGTCAGGACCCTCCACTGGTGGGTCAGAGGTCTGAGTGGGATCCGTTTGAAATCCATACGACAAATGAGTCTTTCTTGGTTAAATAAGATGTGATAGTGTGTGTATTTGTGTGTGTGTGTGAGAGTGTGTACTGTCTAACAGTCTGAAAAGTCAACTGTGTTTCCTAAGGGTAGAGCCATTCAATTATCAATGACTGTTACTTTGCAGAGTTGTCCTTGTTTTAATAGAGCTATTTCATTTGCCACTTCTTTGAGGTCAGGATGTGAGGATTGAAAGTGGTATTGGCCCCATAAACACTCAGTTTATACTGATGTACAACACATTTGACAGCTTCTCAAGAATATCTGTGGTATCACACCTTTTTGTCAAATGAGTTGTACCTCTGTGTACATTTACATTTAAATTTAAGTCATTTAGCAGACGCTCTTATCCAGAGCGACTTACAGTTTAGTCACATTATTATTATACTTTTTTTAAATCTTTTTTTTGTGTACAGGGCCAGAGTGTAGTAGTTAAATTGTGTTGAAAAGATTAACTACTCTGTGTAGGCCTTTTTCATTTGCGTAAATATTCAGAGGATATGCATATTGGTGTCAGGTGGTGAATTTCAGTACAATATACAAAAACACACCCAAGTACAAAGGCAAAAAGCAGATTTACTGATTTTAGGAGATATACAGAAATTACAAAACAGGATTTCCCACAACCACCAGTCTATGTTAAGTCAAGACATTATTAGATTGTATCAAAACGCATACATGTACACGAGATAGAGAGAGCGGGAGATGAGCCACAGCTGATTCAGTCACTGTGGCTCTCTTCAGCTGCTCCTGACTGACTTGACCATGTGTTTGTTTCCCTTTGGGAATCCCCAATCCTGCCTGTGACCACACAATGGGTCCAGGGTCTAGTCAACTGGCTCTACATGTCTTGAAGTGAGGAGGAAAGTCAGGGAGGAAGATTGTGGTTTTAACCCTAGAGAGTGAGTGAAGAGGGACAGCTGGCAAGGAAAATGACATGTATGCTTAAATTTGCACATTCAATTTCATGTCATCAAAAAATCTATGAGCTGGATGAGGGGGAGTTAAGCGTTACAGCGTGATTGAAATGTAAAGGCAATGTTCCCGCGTTAGCGGAGACTGCATTCACCTTAAACGCTGCATATGTCAGCTCATAAGGAAATTACCTTTACATTTCTTATGCTTCAGTGAAACAGATTGAATAGAGACCTACATGACACTGAGTGGGGGGCGTGATATCTTTGTTTTCCTGTATCTGCCGGTCAACTGTAGATTACACACTTTTTAAGTATTGCAACTCCCCAGGAACAGTCTAGACATTTGGAGGTGTTCAGCTAAGTCCTGTTCTTTAAGGCTGCTTGTAGCTCAGCGGGTAGCTCACTGCAGGATTACAGGAGCTGGTGTAAGGTTGGGGCAAACTGAAGCCCCGTTTATACCTGGTGCTAACGTGTGTCCTGATGTAGTCCACATTCTGATTGGGCCCACATTTTTAGACGGGTGTAGACGATCAAAAGAACTGATGGTGATCCTTAGTTAGTAGTTGGGGAGTAATTGATTTGTTGGATTAAGGGCCTGATTCAATCAGATCCACTTTAGGCGACATCCACATAGCTGAATTTTGACGGTGTCGGAGGTGGAACTGAGTTAAATCCACAAGCAACTCCCAGCATTATACCTAAAGTGGACATTGGCTACGGAGTCGCATTAAGAGATATCCCATGCAGCCTTGTTCACAAATTCTAACACTGGACTGTGAGATGTAATCTACACCTTGATTATGCTGATAGAAATCCTCAATCTTTTGTTTGATGATTTTCAATTTGAGCGTCATTATTTCTACGATACATTTGGAAAATATTCAGACCCCTTGACTTTTTCCACATTTTGTTACAGCCTTATTCTAAAATTGTTCTCATCAATCTACACAGAATACCCCATAATGACAAAGCAAAAACAGGTTTTTAGAAATGTTAGCATGTCAGGTTGGATGGGGAGCGTCGCTGCACAGCTGTTTTCAGGTCTCTCCAGAGATGTTCAAATCGGGTTCAAGTCCGGGCTCCGGCTGGGCCACTCAAGGACATTCAGAGACTTGTCCCGAAGCCACTCCTGCGTTGTCTTGGCTGTGTGCTTAGGGTCGTTGTCCTGTTGGAAGGTGAACCTTCGCCCCAGTCTGAGGTCCTGAGCGCTCTGGAGCAGGTTTCCATCAAGGATCTCTCTGTACTTTGTTCCGTTCATCTTTCCCTCGATCCTGAATAGTCTCCCAGTCCTTGCCGCTGAAAAACATCCCCACAGCATGATGCTGCTACCATCATGCTTCACTGTAGGGATGGTGCCAAGTTTCCTCCAGACGTGATGCTTGGCATTCAGGCCAAAGAGTTCAATCTTAGTTTCATCAGACCAGAGAATCTTGTTTTCTCATGGTCTGAGAGTCCTTTAGGTGCCTTTTGGCAAACTACAAGCGGGCTGTCATGTGCCTTTTACTGAGGAGTGGCTTCCGTCTGGCCACTCTACCATAAAGGCCTGATTGGTGGAGTGCTGCAGGGATAGTTGTCCTTCTGGAAGATTCTCCCATCTCCACAGTGGAACTCTGGAGCTCTGTCAGAGTGACCATCGGGTTCTTGGTCACTTCCCTGACCAAGGCCCTTCAACCCCAATTGCTCAGTTTGGCTGGGCGGACAGCTCTAGGAAGAGTCTTGGCGGTTTCAAACTTCTTCCATTTAAGAACGATGGAGGCCACTGTGTTCTTGGGGCCCTTCAATGCTGCAGACATTTGTTGGTACCCTTCCCCAGTTCTGTGCCTCGACATAATCCTGTGTTGGAGCTCTATGGACAATTCCTTTGACCTCATGGTTTGGTTTTTGCGCTGAAATGCACTGTCAACTGTGGGACCTTATATAGACAGTTGTGTGCCTTTCCAAATCATGTTCAAACAATTGAATTTACCGCAGATGGACTCCAATCAAGTTGTAGAAACATCTCAAGGATGATCAATGGAAACAGGATGCAGCTGAGCTCAATTCTGAGTCTCATAGCAAAGGGTCTGAATAATTATGTAAGTAAGGTGTGTGTATATAAACTCAGCAAAAAAGAAACGGCCCTTTTTCAGGACCCTGTCTTTCAAAGATAATTCGTAAAATTCCAAATAACTTCACAGATCTTCATTGTAAAGGGTTTAAACACTGATTCCCATGCTTGTTCAATTAACCATAAACAATTAATGAACATGCACTGGTGGAACGGTCGTTAAGACACTAACAGCTTACAAACAGTAGTCAATTAAGGTCACAGTTATGAAAACTTAGGACACTAAAGAGGCCTTTCTACTGACTCTGAAAAACACCAAAAGAAAGATGCCCAGGGTCCCTGCTCATCTGCGTGAACGTGCCTTAGGCATGCTGCAAGGAGGCATGAGGACTATAGATGTGGCCAGGGCAATAAATTGCAATGTCCGTACTGTGAGACGCCTAAGACAGCGCTACAGGGAGACAGGATGGACAGCTGATCGTCCTCGCAGTGGCAGACCATGTGTAACAACACCTGCACAGGATCGGTACATCCGAACATCACACCTGCGAAACAGGTTCAGGATGGCAACAACAACTGTCCGAGTTACACCAGGAACATACAATCCCTCCATCAGTGCTCAGACTGTCCGCAATAGGTTGAGAGAGGCTGGACTGAGGGCTTGTAGGCCTGTTGTAAGGCAGGTCCTCACCAGACATCACCGGCAACGTCACCTATGGGCACAAACCCACCGTCGCTGGACCAGACAGGACTGGCAAAAAGTGCTCTTAATAATAATAATAATATGCCATTTAGCAGACGCTTTTATCCAAAGCGACTTACAGTCATGCGTGCATAAAAACGAGTGGCGCAGTGGTCTAAGGCACTGCATCGCAGTGCTAGCTGTGCCACTAGAGATCCTGGTTCGAATCCAGGCTCTGTCGTAGCCGGCCGTGACCGGGAGACCCATGGGGCGGCGCACAATTGGCCCAGCGTCGTCCAGGGTAGGGGAGGGAATGGCCGGCAGGAATGTAGCTCAGTTGGTAGAGCATGGCGTTTGCAACGCCAGGGTTGTGGGTTCGATAAAAATAATGTATGTGCTAACTGTAAGTCGCTCTGGATAAGAGCGTCTGCTAAATGACTAAAATGTAATGTAAAATGTAAAAAAATGTTTTGTGTATGGGTGGTCCCGGGGATCGAACCCACTATCTTGGCGTTACAAGCGCCGTGCTCTACCAGCTGAGCTACAGAGGACTCTTCACTGACGAGTCGCGGTTTTGTCTCACCGGGGGTGATTGTCGGATTTGCGTTTATCGTCGAAGGAATGAGCGTTACTCTGAGGCCTGTACTCTGGAGCGGGATCGATTTGAAGGTGGAGGGTCCGTCATGGTCTGGGGCGGTGTGTCACAGCATCATCGAACTGAGCTTGTTGTCATTGCAGGTAATCTCAACACTGTGCGTTACAGGGAAGACATCCTCCTCCCTCATGTGGTACCCTTCCTGCAGGTTCATCCTGACATGACCCTCCAGCATGACAATGCCACCAGCCATACTGCTCGTTCTGTGCGTGATTTCCTGCAAGACAGGAATGTCAGTGTTCTGCCATGGCCAGCAAAAAGCCAGGATCTCAATCCCATAGAAATGTCTGGGAACTTGCAGGTGCCTTGGTGGAAGAGTGGGGTAACATCTCACAGCAAGAACTGGCAAATCTGGTGCAGTCCATGAGGAGGAGATGCACTGCAGTACTTAATGCAGCTGGTGGCCACACCAGATACTGACTTACTTTTGATTTTGACCCCGCCTTTGTTCAGGGACACATTATTCAATTTATGTTAGTCACATGTCTGTGGAACTTGTTCAGTTTGTCTCAGTTGTTTAATCTTGTTATGTTCATACAAATATTTAT